TATCCCATATTCCCATATGGGTATGGGTCACCAAACCAGGGGACTGCCCATTTTAGTCCTTAGTTCCATTTACCTGTCCCATTTGGGGTACGTATTCTTGGCCCCACAGCCACATTCCCATTGTTCAAATTCACGTCCCCGGCTGCGGCGACCCCGCTTCAGTGAGTTGTCGTGCAGCAGGCGCCGCGCAAGGCACAGCAAGGGCATCTCCAGGTTGAAGCGAGTCTTCCTGAGATCGCGCGGCTGGCGGCCGGATTCGCCGCTGGTGTTCAACCAGTATTATCCGAAAGAGAAAAAAAAAGTTGCTTATGTTCAAACGCGCAAATGGCACATCAGTCCCCCATGTTTTTCGTTGGTTTCAATCGAATGGGCTGTGACAAACAGGCTTTCGGATGACACATACATGATTGTCCTTTGGTGCAAGATAGAACCCGTTTAGGACCCCGAACTGCATGACTTTTGAATGGGCAGCCTACATCAAAAAGAGATGGCGAAAAAAATCCTTTTTGGGCGTTCCAAACAATTTGTTGTCTTTTTCCACTTCTCGGCGCCCTTCAAGAAGGCGCGCCAGGTGGAGTCCAACAACAAAAATGCAAGACTCCAAAGATTGAATTGAGGGAACACATGTACAACCAGACGGGCGCCCTGGACACCTGAGATCGGGGAAAAGTCGGACTCGCAGAAGCCATCCTGTCACCTTCCCTCGAAACGGGCGGTTTGGATACGCGACTTTGGATGTGGCTTCCCATTTGATTTCTAGAAACCACCAATCCAAATCAAATCCAAACTAATCCAAACCCACTAAGGAACGGGGTGCAGCCCCCCCCTCCCTCCCCAACCCCCCCCCCCCCCCGCTTTGTCGCTTTTTGGCTTGGGATTCGGGAGTCTAGACGGAGGTTTGCCAAGCTGCACACTGAGATCGTAGTACTGAACCTGCGGAGGAGAGGCGAAACCCAAGCGCTGCTGCCACCAATTGACATGGAACCTGCACGTGGGGAGGGTGGATTGGACCATTTCCTGTTAAAGGGAAAGGACCCCTGGCGGGTTCCATGTTCACTAGGAGGGTGATTTGTTTGGGCCCGTCCAATGGATGCCACAGGATGGTGCCAGCGATTGGAGCCCGTTAGAATCCAGGCAACGGGTCCCCGTGCATGGAAGCTGACAATCCCCTTGTGAAACTTTCGAATGCCGGGATCCCCCATTTGGAGATAACAGAACATACTTGCAAATACTCACTTGAGTGGATGGGTCAAACATAGTCCAAACTTGCCACCTAAGCCACTGACTAAGCCACCACTAAAATGGTCCAAACTGAAAAAGTTACAAAAGTCCATGAACTCACGGAACGAATATCCCTTCTTCGCTGGGAGGCTCACACCTTGCGGCGTGGCCAAGATTTAGCGCCACCCCAAGAGACCAAGATTGGTATGGATTCGATCGAAGGCGACCGGAGTTAGAGTGAGAAGTTAGAACGGCCTCATCGACCAAAAGGCGGGCTCCCTGCATGTCCCAAAATGAGAAAATGATGGTGGACCTGCGTGCCAATGCTTTGGGAACCCCTGCAAACGACTATAGTGCCCAAACTGTCTTTCAAAAGCCCAGACAGAGAGCAAGAGAGAGACAAACGCCTTTTCTGCGACGTATCCAAATCGAACTCCTTGCAAAGTCAAACCTATCGCCAACTTCCGGCCTGTACCGAATTGTTCGGCAATGGAATGACCCACTGGATGCCTTGTGCTAGATTTACATGGGGGTGGATCACTATTCCATTTAGGGCCCCCAGTTTTGACCATGGGTAACTTTTTCCATCTCAGTGGTTTTCCAACCAACGGTCGTCCACATTTGCAGAAAACCCTGCGCTGAAAATCAAAAGGAAAACAACCAGTTTGGGGAGTCGTCCCCTACTTTGACACAAACTCCACTTATTATAGCGAAGGTCCTTCTGGCCATGCATCCTCACCGCTGAAAATTTAGACGGGTCCTGTCTAATCGCAGGTACCTTCGCAAGGCGAATAAACCTCCATCCGGCAACTGCTGTATCCCAAAAACACCAGCAATGGTAGCGTTTGTACACTTCCAGTTCTGGAACCCCTAAGATTTCTGGGCACTTGGGAGCCCTAGGGTTTCTTAAGGTTCCTTTGATTTTCTTTAGGGTCTCCCAGGTTCCCTACGGTTCCTTAAACCAGGGAACCTTCTCCTTGGACCACCCCCGCTGATGGGACACTTCAATTCAAAACCACAAACCCTTTGGGGCTTTAAGCACTTACAGTGAACATGCCATGTTTTGTTGTTTTGCTTTTTCTGGTTCTCAGAGAACCAATGACCTGCAGGAAAACCACCAGTCCGTTCCGAGCCCGGACCGCTGAAGGCATCGCCTTCAGCTTCCGCATCAGCAGCGAGCCCTCCTGAGCCTCGCGCTGGAGGCTCGGTTCCGTTACGAGCGGGGTAAGAAGCGCAGGGTCTCCGTTGGGTTGAGCCCCATCCTCTGGTACTTCAAACCAAAAGGAAACAAGACGTGCTTTTTGGTGGCTTTTTCTCTTCGTGGAAGAAGCCTGCGTGTAGGAATCCCACAAATGGCCGTGGAAATCAATGAACTTTTGCAATGGTCAACTTGCAGGGCAAGGATGGCCCATCCAAAAAAATGGAAGAAAAGGGCCACTAGGAGTCGCTAGGGGCAATGCTGGTAAGGGTGTGGCCTGAAGAGATGCTGGTGATGCGGATGATGCTGGAGATGCTGGTGACGCTGATGCTGCAGATGCTGGACGCTTGCAGATGCTGGACGCTGCAGATTCTGCCGATCCTGCGGATGCTGCAGATTCTGCCGATCCTTCGAATGCTGCAGATTCTGCAGATGCTCCAGATGCTGCAGATGCTGGAGATGCTACAAATGCTGGAGATGCTGCAGATGCTGGAGATGCTGCAGATGCTGGAGATGCTGCAGATGCTGATGGTCCAGATGCTGCAGATGCTGGAGGTGCTGGAGATGCTGGAGGTGCTGCAGATGCTGGACGTGCTGCAGATGCTGGAGATGCTGCAGATGCTGGAGATGGTGCAGATGCTGGAGGTGCTGCAGATGCTTGAGATGCTGCAGATGCTGGAGATGCTGCAGATGCTGGAGGTGCTGCAGATGCTGGAGATGCTGCAGATGCTGGAGATGCTGCAGATGCTGGAGATGCTGCAGATGCTGCAGATTCTGCAGATGGTCCAGATGCTGCAGATGCTGGAGGTGCTGGAGATGGCAGATGCTGGAGCAGATGCTGGAGATGCTGCAGATGCTGGAGATGGTGCAGATGCTGGAGATGCTGCAGATGCTGGAGGTGCTGCAGATGCTGCAGATGCTGGAGGTGCTGCAGATGCTGGAGATGCTGCAGATGCTGGAGATGGTGCAGATGCTGGAGATGCTGCAGATGCTGGAGGTGCTATGGTGCAGATGCTGGAGATGCTGCAGATGCTGGAGATGGTGCAGATGCTGGAGATGGTGCAGATGCTGGTGGGAGATGCAGATGCTGGAGATGCTGGAGATGGTGCAGATGATGGAGATGCTGCAGATGCTGGTGCTGCAGATGCTGGAGATGCTGCAGATGCTGGAGATGGTGCAGATGCTGGTGCTGCAGATGCTGGAGATGCTGGAGATGGTGCAGATGCTGGAGATGTTAGGGATGCTGGTGATGCTCGGGCTGCAGGGGATGCTGGTGATGCAGGGGATGCAGGGGATGCTGGAGAGTGCTGTCCTCAGATCCCCTGCTGAAGGTTTAGCGTTTAGTGGGTTAAATAGAACCCAACTTTACTAACTTCAAACCAAAAAACCGAAGAGGATGGCTAGGAACCGCCAAGTAACCACCGTTTCTTGCGACGATTGACCCGGCCTTCACTATGCGGGGAAGGTCAATCTTGTTGCCGACGACCACGATGGGGATATCCCCCGTCACCTTCCTGCGTTCAATGCTCAATTGGTTCGGAAGGGCGCGGCCCACTTGTTAGTTGAGGAACTACCTCAGCTTTTGTCAACATAAGACTGCAAAAGTACGGACAAGGGTGCGATGCTGAACGAACCTTCCACCAACGATGCTCCTTGGGATGAAGAATTTGTCCCAAGAGGCAATCGAAGAGACGGGCTCAGGGGGTAAGCATGCACCAACAGAAAATTTGGAAGTGCAGCTTTTTGAGGGTGCCAGAAAAAAAGACCGGCGCCACTTTCGAGGTTCGATATCTTTTGAGACAAATCCACCTACCCCTCCCGATACCCGGGCGCTGTTCAAAACATCAAAACTCATTACAGTTGGCTGGTTGGTTGATTGATTGGTTGATTGATTTGGTTGGTTGATTGGTTGGTTGATTGTTCGATTGGTTACTTGCTTGGTTGGCTGGCTGCATGGTTGGTTGGGCTTGCTTTGGCTTCGCTTGGTTCGGGCAGGTTTGGCGCTCGAGCTCCAAAATATTTTACTCCTGTAAACATCTCCACCCACCCCAAACGCACGACCAAACCAAACCAAAGCAAGCCAACCAACCTACCTAGCAACATATCAACGTATCAACGTATCAACACACCAACATACCACCAACCAACCAAAGAACCAACCAACCAGCCAGCCAGCCAGCCAGCCAGCCTACCAACCAACCAACGTGCTGCAAAGCAAGGAAATGTATTTGTGCAACTGTTTCATATTTACTCTATGTGGGGTTCAAAAAACAAAAAGAATGCAAGCCTAGCACTCGAACTGCTACTTGCCCAAATGATTACCATGTTCCTTGATGCAGAATTCGATTCTGGTTGTTCCCCGCCCACTAACAACTAACAGTTGTCCCTTGTTCGCAAAAGCATGTCGGAGGGAGTTGGCCTAGATCCCCATCTCACTTCCTGAGTGAATTGGACCAATCAAAGCTGAAAGTCCAGGAACTTAGGAAATACGCCATCATCCACTTTTGTTGGGCGGAAGACAACATGCGCTCTTGCGCTTTGCACCAAGGTACCCCAAACTTGGCGCAGGCAGAAGAGTGACATGGTCCACATCCTTTGGGGGTTGCGGAGATTGGTCATCAACCCCACAATTCCCCAAATACGAAGCAACATCCTTGGACTATTGCACGGGCTCTGGTGGTAGTTTCTCCCAGCATTCTGTTGAATGGGTTCATCCATTCAAACTGGTGCAAAGTGGACTCGTCCAGCCACGGTGGTGTGGACATGGGTCAAACCCTGTAACCCCCAGTGAACCTCCCAATCCCCACTAAAATAGCTACCCCAAAATGGGATCCCATTGGTGTTGACCCACGACCGTGTGTCTTTTTTTAACCTCTTTGGGTTGCCTGAAACGGAACAACCCAACAGGCTCATGGCACTGCTCCGTCGGGCCTCACTTCACTCACCCAGCGCGCCACGTTTTGGTGGCTCTCGCGCTTGGTGACCTGTAGGATTTCTTTTGTCGCGCGACATAAGGGACCCTGAAAAAGAGGAAGGAGGCAAAACGCTGGTCTCTCTTTGATGTCCCTTTGGTTTCGCGTTTGAGTCAACCCGCGAAAGAGTTGGTCTCGCAACGAGACAGCTCCATGTGGTGTACCCATGCCCCAAAACCGGTTTTACGCAGTGCACAGTGAATTGCCGTTGAACGGACGGGCTCGGGCTTTGCCAGTTTGTGAAAGTACTGCCATCAAAATGAAGCCAAAAGCCAACGATTGATCGCTCCATCGATTGATCCATTGAGATGCTGGTCCACGCCATCGATTGGCTGAGAGTCCAGACTTCCAGACGTCCACTGCACATGAGAAGGGGCGGGGCAACCTTTCTTTTGCTGATCAACGGCAGCCCAAAGTACAGGTCGTCACATAAAACACCTTTCTTGTGTTGATAGTTCATGGCTTCTCATGGAAACCTGGCACAAAACCAAGCCAACACCATGGGTGTTTTTCACTATGGAGATCTCCGAACCTTGGCTCATGGTGCTTCCAGAAGGTAGCAGAGCTACTTTGGCACCGGAATAAGTGGGACAAGTTGATCGAAATATGACCAGAAAGCTCACCATCCACCACAAAGCCGCGGCGAATTACAGCAAATTACGAGGGGGGGGGGGGGGAGTTCCTTGATGTCTCTTATAATCCTGCACGAATGGGTAGGTGGTGTACTTCTGAGGCTACCCTTTTCGGGGGTTGGTTTAAAAGGAAACCAAGGGGAAACTCACTCCTTTGGGGGGTTCCACACGTTACACGAGGACAATCCCGGCTCGCGCCCAAAGAACGTTGCCCAAAAAAGTCGACGACTGGGACGCCCAGCGTCGAAGAAGACCATGGCGCACTGTGAGCCTGGAACTCACCAAAGGAAACTCACCATGTCCACACCCTACTGTGGATAGTTGCGAAATCCATTTCGCACCACCTCAGACCCTGGTTTCGGATGACTCCCCTGTAAATACCAACAAACGTTATGGTTTCAACCATGGTTTCCTTTCGTGGTGCGAAATGGATTTCGCAACCATCCACCCTACCTCCGAAAGCTCCGTGCTCTAAGTCCTTCTCCAAGAGCTAGTCAGGAGGTATACAACCATGGAACATACCGAGGGGTTATTCATCCAGTCCCAATAGTAGCTTTTTGTCTTCGTTCCTTGGGCAAGTTGGCAGCTAAAGCCGATTTTCGGTCATCATGTCAGTGGTGTAAGACAGAATCCATGGGACCAGTCCAAATTTTCTGCGGGTGAAAGCAAATAGCACAATTCCCAGACTATGCCGTAGATAGAAATGACAAAACCAAGATAAGTTGTGTCATTTACTTTCAACCAACTGTAAACAGCCAGACTCTGGTCCCATTTTGGTTAGGCAAAAGTGGTGCAAACAGCTTGAAAACACGCTTGGCTCCCCTAACACGACCGTCAAGACTCACAATGACAAAACATAAATCACCATTGGCCCCTTTGTACCAAAGAGACCAAGCCCCCTGTCGCGTGGCGCAAAAACATCGGGTTTCCTCCTTCCACCTCGCGGAACGCCGCGTGGATTTCGGCTCTCGCTTGCGCCTATGAAGTAGCCATCCCGCAGCCCGGAGAACTGCTCCTACGCGGTTCGCGGATGGCGGGGTTCACATCCATGGCGATGGGCGGATTTCTCTGCCTATGAAATCAGAAGGGTGTGGAGCATGTCAAAGGTACTGTGGATGGACGAAAGCCTGCACCACCTAAGAAACCCTGGAATGATGATTCTCTGGTAAATACCAACAAACAATGGTTTCCACAGCATCTCCAAATGAAGAAACCCCATGAAACAGGGTGATTCTCCTTTCAAAAGAATGGGTTGTCTGACCAAAGGCATTCTGCACATTCCTGGCCAAAAATGCGTGAGTCAATGCCTCCCTCGCACCATCCACAAGTTTTCGACTGAGCCTCTTTCAGGAACCCCCACCTTGGTGTGCGGAAGCCCAAAAAGATGGGGTTTCAAAATCAGGAACACCCTTTGGCATGGTTCTAAAGAAAACCGACCACCTAGGTGCAAAAATGATGTGTGCCGTGCTGCACCACCTATTTCGAGCCAGAGGAGCCCTTTCCCCCCGTTTCGCGGGTCTCTAACTTGTCAGCCTGTGGTGCCGCCGGACGTTTTGGTGGGAACCGAAAACCGAAATCACGAGACCCCACCAAAATCCCACGTCTGCAAAACAAACTGGTAGCACCTTGGGGTCCAGCTGGGATTTGGGTACCAATTGACAACCCGATTTTTGGTATGTCCACTGCAATTTGCAGGAGAGCAACCAAAGCAAAACCAATGCAAGACTTTCTCAATTGACCCCAAATTTGTCTGAACTCTTTGTTTATCACTAAAATGGTCTTCCCAAAAAGTTCAACGTCTAATAACTGGGGGATGTGAGTGGGGGTCCTCAACAACAACGCGCCAGGTGAGCGCTAACGGCCAGCTCGTTGACTTGGGGCCCTGTTGTTTCGACCCCTGAAATACGTTTCGGCCAATGGTGAGAACAAAGGAGGTCCAATAGGCAGCAGGTTGGGTGGTTGGAAAAGCGGGTCCCCGATTGACTCTTTGACCAAGAGTCCCCTTGCCCTGGATGCGTATCTTTCCACACTTCGCATCGTGCCGCCAGCTGGAAAATATGGAAAGCCGAGAGGAGAACCTTTCATGCGCGGAGCGGCTCCTTTTTTAACCCCCCATTTGCTGTAAGTGGCGCACTTCCATCCTTTGGGCCTTCGGTTTTGTGCAGACTGCCCCAAAAGAGAACGAGACAAAAACATTAAAAAAAAAGAAAAGAACAGGCGCTCAGCCACCGTTGTTTCCCATGCCCAACCAAAGCCTGGGGTTCCTGTAGTTTTCGGGAATCCGAGAACCCGAGAACACGACCCGATCTCCTGCCCCGCGGTGTCCCAGATGTTAAAAAGCACCGGGCCCTGACCTCAGCGAACACTTTTCTGAAAGATGGGATCGTGGAGGTCCGATATTCCATAGGCCCCCAAGCTCTGGCTAGCGGCCATGGCCCATGTGGAAAGAGATCAGCTTAGTGGTTTCCCCAATCCCAGGTACAGGGCATTTTGATCAACCACTACATCGACTCCAACTTCGCGCGCCTCAAGAGACATCGGACGCAAGACCAGCAAGTTGTTGAGTCCGTCTCGTCAAGCTGTTGCCCCTTCCAGCCGAAGTCTTTCGTCCAGTCGAGTCCAGGGCGGCAACAAAAAAAAGCCACCCCAAAGCCCCGTGGATGGCTTGAGCATGTTTCAACAAGCCTCTGGTCCACTTGCAAAGGAAAACACGAGGATGGTGTTCAAACTTACCCCTCATTACCTCGACACCTGAACTGAACCATCCCCCAACGGCTCAGTCCCAAAGCGAAGGAAAGCTCCGTCTCGACACGGAAAAAGAGCCAACGGCTTCTCATCTTCACCCTTTGGAAGGCACCTATGCTCGTGAGAAAACCCAGGGACCCGAAAGCTTGTCATCTCTGGGCCTAACAAAGGAGGCCGATGTGATGCTCCAGGCCGGCGTGATGGGCTGGGCTAGGCCTCAAAATGGAGCTCCGCTCGTTGTATGTTGGCAAGAAAAGCCAACTCCGTGCAGTCCATGAATCAGACCATTTCTTGGGCAGGAAAAGAACGCTTCTTGATCTTGGTTGCAATTTCCCGAACAGATCCGAACACACCTTCAGCCCCGCCCTCCGTTCCTTTCCGGCCGGCCGGCTCGCGCGATCTCGAGCCGTTGAACTAGGGGCCCCCGACTCGTAGAGACCTTCAACTTCCTCATCTCGCATCCCTGCCGCAGAAAGCGACAAATCTGACACTCACCCCTTGGGTTAGCACCTCGGCCGCATGGTTCCGCAAAAGACTTGGGTGGGGGTGGGGGTAGGAGAGGCTGAAGACAGCTTGCTAGGGATGGACAACATCCCACTTTGCACCAGTTGCGATGGGATGAACCACCAACTGGTGCCAGGCGTTGATTGCGGCCTTTTTCTTGGGCCCTTCCAGCCACTTAGAAGACTGCCTGAACCTCATGAAAAAGATCACGCCACATCGCTTAAAGGCTGCAAGTCTGGACAAGAAAAAAGGCAGCATTCGACATGGTTTGTGGCTGGCTCACTTGCAAAACGCGCGGAATGGGTTTTGCCTTGAGTCTCCTCAACTTTGAGGGAACTGGGAACATCGGATCAGCATTTGCTTGGACTTCTTGGCCAAATGACTACGCCAAAGAAGTAATTAGCCAAATTGCCTCTGATGATGGCAAACGCATTGCCAGAAGGCGTCCTGACTCATGCGCCTTACATCCGCAGTTGGCAAATGGGTGTCTTTTCTTCTTCTTTTTCGGAGACGCCCCAAAGTGGCCCCTTTTGGCATTTCTTTTCAGACTGCAAAGAAGAGGGTACCCTCAAAGCAAGATATCCTAACCAACGCCGGCGTGCCCGTCGTGTCGCCACGGAAACCGGCCCTGGTACAGTTGACTTTCGGCAGGGGAAACCGCGCTTTTGCCAGGGCAAACTCTGGAAAACCGGGGAAAAAAAAAAAACGAGGCACCGAAGCAAAACAAATCCTGGACATAGGACTGGTCGAAGGAGTCCACAAGAAAAGAACGATCTAATGGGAACCCGGATGAAGCAACCCCTGGTTTTTAATAGGGTGTGGCCCGTTTTACTGGGTATTCATCACTCTTGAAACAGAACGCCCCTCTTTGGACAGGTTTGTTACTCCGGGGTCATCACGTCTGTGGATTACCGAGCATTTCTCCACCCGCCTCGGTGGGCCGGTACACCTGCGGGAACTCCCCGGAGAGGTGGCGCTGCACCTCCGCACTCGCAATAGGTGGCCATTTGGAAAAATAGATGGGTTTCCCTGGCAAATTGAACCAAACCCATCGAAACCAGTGGAACCCATCTATTTTTAACCAGGCTCACCGATCAAAAGGACACCTATGCTCGCAAATCCGCAAATCCCAAATTTGAGCCGGTGAGAGCCTCGCAGGAGATAACCCCTGGTTACCCCTGACAAGTAAACCCCCCGCCCCATCACCAACACCCCTCCCCCCCATCAAGGTCGACAAGGTTTGGACCAGTTTCCAGAAATCAAGGAACACATGGGGAAATCTCCGAGGAACCCTCTGAGCAACCCTCTGCGGCTAAAAGTACATGTCGTCATGAATCTGGACAAAGGGCGCACGGCACAACAAACATAGCCGGCGCACGGCGGGCATCAAGGAAAAGAACAACTTTGTGCACCTGGGCGACCCAATCAAAAGTTTTGGGCCACGTACCCACAAGCACGTAGATATTTGTTCTTGCGTGCACCATCCTGTCGGCTTCTGTGGGTGCTGGAGGAGGCTTGGAATTGCCAGTTTCCGTATGCTTCATGTTGAATTCAAGATGTTTCTTTCACGACGTACATACCAAAACAAATCGAGCAAAACTGTCAAACGCCGTGTGCAAGCCAAGCAAGCAGAAATCCAAATCATGATCTTCCCTTGACACCTCTCCTTCCCGGTCAACAGACCTCCTTACAAAATGAGCAAATTCAAAAGGGAGTTTCTCAACATGATGCATGGACTCCTTTTGGTTGGCAATTAAAAGGAAGGACCCCTTTGAGAACTACCCAAGGCAAATGCACTAGCAAACGTTTTCCTTTCCCCCGTGTTATTTCCAGAAGCTAGCAAAAGCTCTTAGTGCGCAGGGTTGGCCAAGAAAAAAAGAGGCCCCCTTGAAACCCTCCACGCTTTCAACTTCTCTTTACTGCACACACTGGAAGGCCCAGGGATGCGCACTTGGGCCAAGATATTAAGCCACTCGCCAGGCCTCTCAGCCAGTTTTAAAAAAAGCGCTGTGCCAACCTCTTCATGGAGCTCTTTGAGGCCCAACCTTTGGTCCGATTGCGGCCTGCGGAACCGAGGCTCTTCCGGAAGCGAGTCGCTTCGGCTTTGAGACCCGGACGAAGCAGGTCTTGCCCGTTTGGCCGTCCCCCAGCAGCAGGAGCTTGAACTCAGGGCACCGGCTCCCTTCAGGCTTGGTATGCCTTGGGTTCTTCTAGCGGTTTTTTCCCCAGGGTACCACAAATCATGGGTTCATTGTTTGGCGTTCCTCAGGTATCCTTTAGGTTCTTCTAGGTTTTCCCCAAATTTCCTTCGGGCTGCCATTTTAGCGTAAAGAACTCCCATGGCAGGAAGACCAACAATTTCAGACCCGGCACGAATGGCAACCCTCGGAGAACTCATTTTCCATGGGTCGAAAAACAGAATCAGACACGGGGCATGGCCTGAATGGGAACCCAGCAGAAACCGCTGGTCCAAACAGTCAGATGTACCAAACACAGGTTGGGAGTCAAAAGACAGGGCCCCCTATCATTCTCCTGAAACGTACCCCAAAAATGGTGGCTTTCCTTTTGGCCTGCCTCTTATCCAACCTTAAAAAAGGGGGCCTTCAACCTATGTGTAAATGAGAAAAATATATATATATATATATATATATATATTGTATATATATATATATATATATATTATATATACATGAAGGATCTTTACCTTGGCTTTTGCTGGTACCCCCCGGATTCGCAATTCCAGTACTCCCTGAGGACCGCGCCTCGCGCCTCGCGCCTCCCGGTCCCTTGCCCAGCCTCGGGGCCGCCGATGTAGAATTGCTGGGGCTGGCGGGCGGATTTCTGGATGTCTGCAAAGTGCGGATTGGCTGCGGTTAGGTTGACATCCGAAGGTTGGCGGTACTCTAACAAAAAAAACGCGAGCGCCAACGCCAACCTTCAGAGTTCGGGACCTAACCGAACCAGGCCAAACCTTCAAGGGAAACCACTCGGAGGGACAACCTCCAAACCTCCCAAGTCATTTCATACTTGATGGCTCTTCAAATTAGAACCGCGCATAGACGAAAACAGCGGTTGGCCTCACGCTCACTCATCTCAGTACATATGCACGGAAGAACATGCAGAAATTACTTGCGATGTCTTAGGAATCAACAAGATCTTCGGAAAGCTCGCAAGGAATCCCTGCTCTCTCTCTCTCTCTCTCTCACTTTCAGCCCTCCCTCGAGCCTTGCTGCTTGCCGCCTTGACAAAGGGTGTGAACCACGGCCAATAAAATCAGGGGGGGGGCTTGTCAACATCGGGGGCCCGTTCTGGGTATTCCATGGTATTCCCTGGCACCGATGGCCGGAATCCTGCAGTTGTTTTTACTTTTTGGAGGCATCTGGAGAGTTATCAAAATGAGTACATTTTGACGACCATGTGGTTGACATGAGGCAGCTTCTCGCTCTCCAAGATGAACCAGTTAGCCTGTTCTCAGAATGCAGGCCACTCACCAGGAATCAGTGCGAACCGAACACCCTTGTAAATGGGGATGCCGGTTGCAGAGTACTTGGCCAGAGGAACCGGAATCTAAGAGCTTGCCATGTGCAACAGCATTGGACGCAGCTCATACGTTCCAAACATCACCTTCAGGTTCTGCCCTGCAAGTTGCTTTATTTGATTTATCCCTACCTAAACAGTTTGGCCAACTTCTCAAATACTAGGACAGGCAGGGACATCGACTTTTGGGTCTAACATGGTTCTGGAATCTTACTTGTTCAAGCCCGATGGTGATACCCTAGAACAATGACCAGTGAAGATCTTGCGTGATGCTCAACTTTCACGGCGCCAAAGTCGAGAGCAAACATGGAGGGTAAGGAAGAATGGGGCAGCAGGTGTCATGGCGGCAATCCTCCCGGGAAAAAAGAAAAAAAGAAAAACATCCTGAACCAAAAGGGCAAGGTGTGGCGTTTTGTCCCAAACAAACTAAGGAACATTGGGACATCCTGCGCAACCCCAGGGAAAGTCCGGGCAATGCAAAGACCCCATGGAAAGCCGCCCTCCACAAAGACCCCAACCCCCGAAGCTCCCACGGTTTTCAGGCCTGGCCGGGTGTGTTCCCTCTGGACGCTGAAGACGTGGACCTGGGCGACCTTGGAATCGAGAACGCCCCCCCCCCCCCGCGGTTTCGTAAGTAGTCCCAGTACAGTCTCTTTGGGGAAGGTCGCTTGAGACAAGCTGCATGATGGCAAAACCTGGCAGTGTATAACCCATGTCTTGACTTGTACCATTCGGGTGTGGAATGTTGGTGTCCATCCCCAAAAAGGCTACAGGAAAATGCTGGCGCTCACCAAGTCGAAACTCAAGCGACAAAAAAGAAAAACACCCCAAGCAAATGATGGGACTTTAGCCAGCTCTACCAACTGGTGCAAAGTGGATGTTGTCCATCCACTCCGCTACACCTGGTTAAGACACAGACGGAAACATGGTTGATCCTCAAACCAAGTGGGCATGGTTGTGGCATTGGGTATCCGGTTTGTCTCGGTACCCCACAATTTGCATCCTTCGTGAGAGCTATCTCCTGAAGGTTTCTTCAGCTCATGCCAATGACGACAGGACGACATGAAACGGAGCATGCTGAACACTATTGCGGATCTGTGGCGAGATGGTCCTAGCAGATCATGTCTCTAGCCGGCATGAATGGATGGCGCTAAAGCAGTAAGCTGAAGCTACTGCACTCCCTTTGGGGCCACCCATGTTTCACCTTGGCGCCAGCGTGTACCTTTCAACTTGTGTCACTGCAACCACCTGTTGCGGGGCATGCCAATTTGCTTGATCACAACAGAGCCGATCGAGTAGGTCGCATGGTCTACCTCGTGAAAGTGGAGATGCTCGAACTGGAGACGTGTGTCAGACGGTGGTCAACACCGGAGCTTGCGCTGTGTTTGTGACGGAGCCAGTTTACGCATGCTTGGCAATCTGCATGCTAGTCACTGCCGCGCAGAATCAAGATGCTTCTTTTGTTTGTTAACTGGAGCCTGCGGTCTCCGCCGGAGTCAAACCGGCCTTGGGCTATCAGGAAGCTTCCCCTTCCAGCTCCGTTGTTCCTGCACTGCCTGAAGCATTCCTCGCGCAACTGCGCTGAGATGAACTGACATGGGGGGGGGGGGGGGGAAAGGCGAACCATTGAAGAAAACAAAGGCGCGGCGGGTGGGTTTCCTTTTGGCTTCCCCTTGAACCCCAAGAACTCCATGAACTCCATCGAGTCGACCTCGAGCCGGCCATTCACTGAGGCAAAAACCCCGCTCGCCGCTTCGCCGGCGGCTCTCCGCCTTCCTCGGCCCTGCCGTGTGGAGGGGTGCTGGGGCGGAGATGAATCGGGTCAAACGGAGCGAGCTGGTGGTCGATGTGTCTTCTGTTGGTTGCTAAGGGAAATGACCGTACCATTTGAGACATGGTTCAGCAACTGGCAAATTTGCCTGCTAGCAGTCTATTGGTCAACACCTGCTCAGCTGGCATCAAGTCTACCCCAAACCATACCAAAATTAAAAGGGTGGACTTCCCTACTTTTTTGCTTGGGACTGTCCCCCTTTTGCGTACTCTCTTAGTTTGGAGGATATGAACCCACCCAATGTTCCCAGTGACCCGCCAATGGGCTCGGTGCAACTCCGCCGTCATGACAACCCCCAACCTACCCCAAACCTACCATGGCTTTGACCAGGGCTATGCAATTTGAACAAGACAAGCTTGGCATCGAGAGGAATCCCTGGTCACTTCTCCCCATAGACCATGGTGTAAAGAGAAAAAGCCACAGGTCCCTTCACAGGGCGTCCACACTTTTCACGAAATGGAATCATTGGATCCCAAGCTAGAATTTCATGGGCCTAGGGGCATCAACTTTCTTTGCGGTGGACGCCTTGGGCGAGGACCCTGTCCGAGCGCAGCTATGGCGGAGAATTGTGTGCGCATTTCCTGTGCAAGCCTTTGCTAGTTGCCAATGGTCTGCCTTTACTGCTGTGGCAGCTGCCCTTCCGGTCAAAGGAGTCAAGGCTTCCACCCTTGCTATGCTGCTTGGCTACTGCCAGAAACCATGATCTGCTCACCAAGAGAGGTGATGGCCAAAAACAGTTCGTGTCAATCACGCTTCGTCAATCAACATGGCTCGACTGCCAGCAACCCCAGGCATCCAAGAGGACAATTGATCCAACACATGTCATGAACCCGAAATCAACTTCACGCGGCAAGCTCGGCAAACCACGTCCGGAGCAACTTGAGTTCAAATTTGTCGCTGTCGAGTAGAAATATCCCATCCAAATCCATTACCAAGCCAAACCACAGATTGCACCGGTCCGAGTTTCCTTCCAACGTCCAGGGAGTGGTCTTGACAGGCAGCGATCGACATGTTGGGCCCCGTTCCCTAAGGTCCCAGGACTTTGACTTAGAAGGACAAACAAAGAAGAAAAAAGAATAAACAAAGTCTGTGCCCCTGATGTGGAGAAAAAAAGGAGAATTGAGTGTCGCCACAGCGTAGTATGGAAAAACTCTCGCCCCTCTCATCCCAGAAGTAGTCAGCCCTCAGACTGGCCCAACGTAACCCCCCAAGTAGGTGAATCGGAAGGGGCCTTAGACTTCTCACACAGGGTTTTGTTTTTGCAGACGTGTTGCTTTTGCTTTTTGGCGGAGCAGGTTTAAGGGAAACCACCAACAAGCTCCTGGCCTTGACTTTAAACCAACAGCACCCGACCCCGGCCAACCGAATGGACCGAAGCCAAGTGCCTTCACGAGCCGATGACCATACTTTTACCTTCGCGGCCAAGGCTTTTAGGGACCCTTCAAAAAGGGCCCCACTTGAGCTGCTCGAGGAGTCCGATCAGCCTTCGCCCATGACCAATTTTCAAGCCCACGTCATTTCCTTGCCTGTGGGTTGACCCGGCCACCGAGAACCGAAAACCCAAAACCCGGACCTTTCTCGGACTTCCGAGCTGCCCGGCGGGCGCTTGCCGGTGATCATGCCCCAGAGCCGCGACAGCATGGCGTCGGCAATGGGCACACAAAAGGGGTGCTTGCACGATCGGTTAGCCACACACACACACAAACAATCGCAGCTTTGAAGGTAGTTGTCCATCTTTTCTTTCTTGGCCGCTGATTGTGCAAGAAAAGAGGCTGTCCTCAACAAGATCGGGTACACCTTGGGTCGAAGTGAGTGTCTCTGGACGTCGAACCACGCGCGTTGCGAGGTTCATTTGCCGACACGCGTTTCGTTGCGAGCATCTGCTGCCTCTTGGGACCAAGGAATTGGACATAAAGCGGGGAGGGAGTCTCCAATCAAGCAGGGTGGGTACACCCACGTGACGCGCGTGTGTGTGTCTTCTGATTAGCAGGAGCGCATGCGGAGTTATGGACAGGCCAGAAAAAGTGCGGTTGAAACTGCACATCGACACAAACCCAGCGCAGCGACCAAAAGTGATACCATCTCACGGGGAATATGTTCACCGGTAGGCACTGTTGGATTGCCCAAAGGTGGACTTAAAATAGAAGTGGTTTGTTTCCCCCCAAAAGGAGAACCCCTGGGTTTGAGTCTTCCTTGGGGTAGCCAAAAAGTGGGTTTTCGCGCTCCACTAAAAGAAGCTGTTTTGCAAAATACCTCCCCAGCTCAGTCGAAGATGTCCCGTCCAAGTCAGAATCCTTCTCACCTTCATGGGACCACAAAGAAAGTGGAGATTTGAACAGTCAATCCAAGGCCTTGGTGTAGGTGAAACCAGAAGGAAACCAACCATTTGGGGTCCACAATTGGTTCCACGGGTTTGGCTTCGCCCCGAGTTTGAGAACGGAACCAGTATTTGTTCAAACGCAACAGTGGTGACCCCTGGGCGTTTAGCGCGGTTTTTTTGCGAGTGTCCAGGTAGATCTTAACAGCCGAAGTGGACATGGGGATCACAAAAACGAGCTTACAAACTGCTTCCACGGGCAATGTTTTTGTTTTTGTTCTTTTTCCCGTTTGTTTTGCGGGGTAAGCAATGGAAAACGGAACTGCTGGGTTCCCCTGGAAAAAATCCCCTTTGGCGGGTTTCAGGAAGGTTTCCCGCACCGGAGGGCATCCCAAAATCCATGAAGGACCAAAAAGAGCGGTGCTTTCCGCACCGATTTGTGGGGCTCGAACTTTACCTCACTATCCTGATGTTGACCCCGGATTCACAAACTCGCATTTATAAAAGCGATGAATCCTCACTACAAGGGGACACCACCTCACTCAACATAGAGGTTAAGGACTCCCCTTCTAATCCACCACAGGTGAAATTGATCCCCGGGTTTTGACCGCCGTGTCCGAAGGCGACGAGCAATTGCTACGGATGCCGTCCTCCTCCTCCGGAAGAACGCTCGCCTGAAACTCGGCCCGTCGGCCCAGGTTTGGGGGGGCGCATGAGGGGCGCATTGGTCCGTATCAAAAACAGCCTTAGCCAAGTTGCTGCTTGCTAGACACAAAAACCAAACAGTCACAGCTTTAGAAAGAAGAAAGAAAAAAGGAAAAGCAGCACTGGATCGCTCCAGACCCAAGTCGCAACCGTCCCAAGCATCGCAAGCCCCCACAAAACCCTCGCAAGAGAACACCCGTGGCCTTTCCAAGAAGGACACCCAAACACCTGGTTTCTTTCCCAATTGTATCCTAACGAGGCATGCTATGGCGATTCCCGCAAAAATTGGGAGCTTCCGAAGTCTCGTCTTCGGGCCCACTATTGAACCGAATCAGTGATGCCAACAGCAAGGCACCAATGCAGCGACCCGAAACCTGGCTCGCAGGAGTCCCAGTCAGTGATGCAAATGCGCAAAGGCACCAACGTGGCTGCCCGAAAAAGAAACAATAACTTCTGAAAGAGCAACATCTTCCGGAAGCAATCTTCTGAAAAATTATTCTGGAAAATGTCTTCTAAGAAGATCAGACACATATTCTGAAAAAAAAAAAATAAACATTTGAAAGCCTGGGACAAACAGGAGCCAAATCTTCCGAAAGATGTCCGCCGTCGACTTACGATCTGACCGACCTGCGAGGTACCCATCGGGCGGCCTGCGAAGGGATCTGCGCCTCACGGGCGGGGGTTGGGGGGCGGTTGGCCGTGCTCATTTCTTGAGGAACCGCTGGTTGCTTTGAGGGAAACCCAAAACAAAACCCGGCCGACTTTGTCTGGGCGGCAACCTATGAATTCAAATCCCATTCGGGATTTTGCTGGCTCACATTTGGAAACACCAACACCTTGTTTTGCAAGGACAGCCGAGAATGCAACTTTTGACGGATGCATCAGCAGGTTCCCGCCAGATTCCTTTTAAGGGGCGACGCACCCAATCAAGATCGACCAGTTGTCGAGGATTTCGCGCTGAACCGCAAAAGAACCCTTCATGGGCAACACCCCCAATCAAGTGAAAAGCAGGTCGTCGTTGGTTTGTTGCCTCCAGAGTTGTTGTTGCTGCTGCTGCTGCTGCTGCTGCTGCTG